TAAGCTTGTTTGGTGACAGGCGACCAGCAGGGCAAGTTGAAACGCCTTCATAGTCTGAGGCGCGGCGCTCTGTCTCCCGAATTCAGGCTGATGGCGTATTGGTGGAGGCAAATCCGCACAATCGGAGGGCTGAATTTGGATGGTGCAGGCAGAGGCGGGATGGGATGGGGTAGAGACAGAGTTCTGGACCCGGTCTGTTGCGCAGGGCCAGTGCCCTAGCCGCTATGAACGGTGCATTTTCTGGGGATGAGGTTATTTGGAGGCGTTCAACTTTACGAGCCTATTTGACAGCTCAACGGCGCGTGGACCTTGACCGGATCGACTTGCATGTTTCTCTGTTTGTCGTCGAACAGTGATAGTGTAGGTGATCTTTCGAGGAGCCGCTCCTGTGGCAGAGCTGCACGCGAATGAGGGATCGCCAGACCCGCGTCAAGGATCATCAGAGTCTCTCATCTCGTGCGTGCCGGCAGACCTTCGTCTCCATTCACGGAGGCAGTAGAGGGTTTCTCCGGCCGTTGTGATCGATGTCAACTCGGGCGTCCCGCGTCCTGCGGCGTCTCCTAGGGGTAGCGCAACTGTTCCGCTTGATGGCGCCGACATCCGTTCTCAGGTTGTTTGCCAGAGCTTAGCCTTTCATGTGGGCACACGGCTGGACGACGCGATACGCCTTGTTCTTACGTCGCTTCGTGCTGTGGCCGGGACCGTGCATCTCGGCCCTTTCGGAAATGGGATGTTGTCGGGAGAGGAGTGCACAAAAGGGAGGACGGTTCGCATAACAGAGGCACTCTCGTGGTCAAAAGTCCTGACGGCGTAAGTTGTAGCAATTACAGCATGTGCGCGCTGTACCATCCGCTTGTACAAGAACAACAAACGACTTGACGCGATCCAAGTGGCTCTCGTGTCACGCTATACAGTGAGACCGCGAGGACGAGACGGTGGTTTCGGGTCCGGAGTGACCTTCTGCGCGAAGCATTTCCAGGGCACGCACTTGTTCGCTCCTGCGACCTGTCTATAAGGATATTTTACTGTAGAGTGGCATGCTCTCGTTTCTCCGATCGAGAACGGGACTGAAGCAAAGTGACCTCTTTACTGAGTAAGTTCATTCGGTGCTTTTCCAGACCTGCATGGACACGAGCGTACCAGCAAATATCTCGCCAGGACGATCATTTCACGATCTCGGCAGTTGTCTCAACCTTGTAAGCTCACACCAACGAGGCGACGTTGACCCTCGACCTGACAGCCATACATGTCGATGCGGGCGAGATCTCCGGCTATTCGATTCCAAGAACATCTCCTCCGTCGAATTGGAACTAGATGACTGGGTGCTCATCTGCTCAAGGTGTTGCAACTACAAGGGCCAGACTCGCCGCAAACGCATGGCTGAAACGGAGTATTGCAGGGCGGCGATAGCGAGGTGTCCTAGCAACAAGTGTTCTGTGATGGAGGGCCATGCATGGAGACTGGAGGTTCTTCACATGTTCTCGCCAGCACACATCCGGATAGATACAATCACTTTCCTGGACTGCGAGAAACTACTACGACGGTTGCCAGTCATGCGTATTCACGGATGTGCGGAGAACCAGTGCACATGGGAGATTGCTTGGGAGTTCATTTCGTTTCGTAGGTATGATCATCAAGCCATACTGTCACTAATGGCTGCCCTCGAGTGTCTCCACGCCATTGTCAAGGACCTCTTCAGCATCCAGCATTGTTCCATCCGTCCAGGCTCTGCATTTAGAACCTCTCTTTGTCCTTGATGGGGAGGTCAGATCCGGTAGTGCTCTTGTACTGGCCGCGGATGAAATCGGAGATCTGCTCGTCTTTGGCCTGCTCGGCGGCGCTCTCGTCTGGATGTTCGTGTCAGTATCGAGAACGGGTTGTAGGGAAGGAGATGCGTTACTGTTTTGTGGGCCCTGGCCAAGGAACTTCTCCTGGACGAAGTCGACGCCTGGTTGTCAAAGTCAGCGTTGGGGATGCAGTACAGTGGATGAGTGAAAGATCTGGTCGAGTGTCATACCCTTGTCAAGGTAGTCCTCGTTCTTCTCGCTCTCTGGTCCACCACCGGCTGCAGCGTTCAGCTTGTTGCCGATACCACCAAGGAATCCGCCGCTCGACTCCTGTTGCTCGCCGACACTGTTCGTGGCAGTGGGCTGTCCTGCGGTCTCGCCGGTGCTCTTCTGGCCCCCAGTGAAGTTCTTGACGAAATCCATGTTTGTTGGTGTTGGTGTGACGGGGTTTGTGGCTGCAATCGAATGAGCTCGCGTGACGCGGGATGTGCAACGATGGAACGTACTTGACTGGAGGACGAGGTTGCTGCTGCAGGTGATAGACGTGAATGTGAGTGTGGATATGAGTGTGAATGTGAATGACAGGTGTGTAACAGTGAAGTTCAATGGGAGACAGGTGTTGCTGTTATATATGTACAGTCAACAAGGCACCGGAGAGTACATTGACATGTGACGTATGCAGCTGTAGCTTGCTCGCGCTGAAGCCGTGGCCATGGCTTCCATATCGAGTTACTGTGCCAATGCCTTGATGCACCGTACGGCGCATACGCTGCTTCCAGTCCGTGTGCCAAGCTGTTGCTTCCAAGTTTCTGGCCCGTCTCTTGAAGACTGGGCAGGGCAATGCTTTGCAAACCAAGCATGCAAGGGCCGGGGTCGGGCCAGGGACGTGGGGAGCTTCGGGATGATGCATGCATGTGAGAAAACATCGGCCCGGTTAATGCCGTTCTCGTTCTTCTTCCTGAACTCACCATTGAGAGGCCCTTCTATACTTTACTCCAACTGTCACAATGGCTGTACCAACGCAACAGGCATCCGCCTCCAACATCCCCATCACCATTATCACGGGCTTCGTCGGCAGCGGAAAGACGACATTGATCCTCAATCTCCTACCTCAATTGCGAAAAGACAACCCGGGCTACAAGCTCGCGCTCATAAAAAATGAGATTGGAGACCTCAATGTCGACTCTCAACTCGCGGCCGCGGCCGAGATGACCGGCACGCGCGAGTTGCTAGGCGCGTGCATCTGCTGCACGAACGTCGGCCAGATGGGAGATGCGCTGGCGAGCCTGGACAAGGAATACCACCCGGACAGGATCATCATCGAGACCTCTGGAAGCGCGGAGCCGATCAAGCTGGTCATCGAGATCAAGAGGTTGGCAGAGGAGACGGGGCGGTATGAGCTGGACGGCATCATCTCGGTCATCGACGTGGAGAACTGGGGTGGATATTCGAACACGAGTTACACGGCGAAACTGCAGGCCAAACAGACCGATCTGATCATCATGAACAAATGGGAAAACGTGTCCGAGATGGATTACGAGCGTTGTCTGGACCGGCTTGGTGATATGGATGTCGAGACGCCGCAGGTTAAGTCGGACAAGGGTTGGATTAGCAAAGACTTGCTGTTCGGCTTCGATCAGAATATGGCAAGGGACTGGCTTACGCATGAAGCGAAGCATGGACACGAGCACGAAAACGGGCACAAACACGACCACAACGACGAAATGGAATGCCTCTCCATCACCTTGAACGCGCCCTTGGAGTCCAAGGACGCGGCCGTGGATCTAGAAAAGCTCGAACAACTGCTCAAACATGCGCCAAAGGATGAGGTTTACAGGATAAAAGCCGTCGTGTGCTCGCCCACTCCTCCACCTGGATGCAAAGGCGACAACGTACTCAGCCGCTACATCTTGAACTGGTCTTTCGGACGTTGGACCTGGACAAATGACTCCGCTAGTGCATTCGATGAACCAATTCTGCGTATGTCAATTTTCACGGGTCGGTACGAATCCAACAAGTGGCTGAAACGGATTGAGAGCGGACAATACGTCGCTCTGGCTCGAGATGCGGACAAAGGGACATTAACGGTCAAGAGAGTGCTGTGATTGCTGAACATTAGATTAACAAACAACGGCTTCAGAGTGTTGGATCGTTCCAACCATTCCCATGTTTCTGGGAAGCATACGTGGCCTGCGACACGCCCCAAACATGCGCAATCCACTTCCCGGATAACGACCAGTCTGATACCATTCAAAGGGGTGTCGCTCTTCAATCTGCTGTTGCAATTCTGGAACCACGTCGTCGTGAAAATTCGTTCAGAATCAACGCAGACGGCATCGAGATCGACATCACTGATCAACTCGGGAATGAACTTCCTCAGATGCACTCAAGACATACCTCGGTTTTCGCACCCAATGCATCTAGCGCGGAGTGGTCAGCCTACTCAACTCCGCATGTATCGACTCTCGTCGCTACTTCGGATTGCGCTAACGGGCGACTGTATCGTTCATTCCCCTTCCATTACGTCCTGAGGACATGGAACTCTCAACTCTCATGGTTGTGCATATGCACGGACGACGTACTGCGGGTGTGGCTCGTCCAATCAGACCTCCGACACACATCCTGTCGCAGACGGTTCAAATGTAAATGTGAACGGGCGGTAGACATTAGACAGGATATAGAAGTCGCAGATAGAGAAACGAATATTCATCCCTTCCTCTGTACTCCACATCCCCAATCTCAATCTCCCTCATCATCAGCTCTGCCTCTGCAGCAACTGTCCTTACGTCCTCGTCAAGTTCGCCCTCCATCCTCGCCATCTCCCCAAACCTCTCTCGGAAACAACGAGGGAGACATAGCTGGCAGCTCATTGAGGCTGACAGCTACGAAGCTTGGCACCTCATCTGACAAGACGTCGACATGAGCGAAGGTCTACGCGCGTGATGTAGGGACGGATGGTGGATGCGGATAAACGTGCATTCACAAGAGCGATAAATGCCATATACGAGAGGGGTATCTACATACATACAACATCTCATTCCAACAGTAACCGAAGAATAGGTTATGCCGACGTGACTTCGGAAAAGACCCACAACGCCAAACCCACGCTCCACCAAAAAGACCCACAACGCCGAACCTACGCCCGACCAAAACCATCCATCCACCCTGTCCAACGCAACATAATGCAAAAGGAATCATAGATACAATCAAAAGTGCATCAGCCGCGAATCGAACGCGGGGCCCATCGACCTATGGGTGTCCAGATCAAGGACAGGATGGCAACGATGGATTTTACCACTAAACCACTGATGCTGGGATGTGATATTTGGCGTATCAATTTTCCTTATGATCACTCATTGCAATACTAACAACACGGTTGACGAATAACGTTCAGGAGAGCGGACGGGATCCTCTGCTTTCAGCCGCCTGTGGTCGAACGTGGCATAAACCTGGGCTGACGATCCATAAAATTCTTGAAATCTTGTCTTCCCTCTTGAAGCCTCCATGGCGCCCAAGATCCAAGGGGTACGCGAAGCGCGGCTGGCGTGGTCCGCATGTACGACAGCGTTTCTGACACGGGCCGAGGACGCGTCTCCGGTGGCGACTAACGGATTGTTTAGTTTCATGCGGCATTCGAACGAAAGCTTGCGAAACGGGGTGTACGTACTGTATCGAAGCGGCGTGACATGATCTTCCCGCATTGGGGGGGGGGGGGGGGGGGGCAGTCTCGAGACCATCTCAATCGCCCATCAGATGGAACCTGAAAGCAAACATCGTTGCCCCGTGAGGACAACGGCGCACATGATCTCTCATCTTGTCACTCCTAGCATTCTCGTAAGAGCAGTTGGTACCAAGGCAGTAGTATTTTCCATCAGCCTCGTCGTGCACACTCTTCTTGTGGCGATTGAGCATGTCCTTGCGCTTGAATGGCTGTGTGTACGTGCACCCAGGAGTCTCGCAGTAAAACTCGCCATTTCTACTGGGGCGTTCGGAGTCTGCCTTTCTTTTTCTAGGCATGGAGTTCGCACGAACGGACAGATTAGCATTGTCAATCCCACGAGGCGGGACAGCAGAGGTCGAAGGTGTGTTAGCTGAAGAGGACTGCCGTGCAATCGGATCCAAGCGTTCATGTCTCCCCTCTGACTGGGAAAGCATACTGGTTCCTGCTGTCGTGTTGTAGTCGAGGGTGATCACCTCCTGTTTGGTCTCGGCTGTCTCATCATTAGACGGTGGTGTGCCGACAAACCAGTCAGGCAGAGGGAACATCTCCGAGCCATGATTCGTGTAGAGTGCATGGACCGGCCCAGGATTTTGTGGCGCTAACGCGTCCGATTGCGGCTGAGCGAAGGTCCCGCGAGTATTGAAATTGATATGCATTGGCGTCGGATCATTCATGTCTGGGAAATGAGGGTGGTAGAGGTCGTCCAAGAGCCAATCCGTGATGGGACTAAAGCCCTGGGTTGCATCATCCTCCTCGGTTTGGTGGTCTGCTTGTATGCCGTGCGTTGTCCCCCTCTCTTCCGCGTCATATTCGCCTTGGTGGGGGACGACGAACTGAGTATCGACTTGGTCGCCGCCAAAGCCGGCTTCGTCGGCAGCAAGGAGAGCGGCCGTAGCGTTTTCGCGTCGCTCTTGAAGTGGGGTAGGATTGAAGGTATATGGAGGAAGGTCGTCGGCTGCGATCTCAGTGGGTGCTCCAATGCCTGGGACATCGTCACCGAAACCGGTTCCGGCCTGAGCGAACGCATGGTCCTGATGCCCGTGAGAAATGAACAATGCTTCGTAAACGACGAGATCGCCCGCATACCATATGGTCTTCACACACTACGTTTTCAATGGAGTCGTCCGGCGACCCGGTCCAGCCTTCTGATTCGCAGTTCGTGCGGAGAAAGGTTCCTTCAGAAATAACCCGCCACTCCTCTTGCCTGTTACAGCCCCAATGTTTTGGAGACATCGTGGGACGATAACAGCTGATGTCATCGACCTGGGACAGGAGACTCGCGCTGCCTTCGGGTTGCTGTAGGTGTTACTTGTACGTTAGCTTACCCGAAGCTCAATTCGGTCCAGGCCGTGCGGAATTAGTGTTTTTGGTCTAGAGAGCAGCTTGGAATCTTCGTGAGTGTAGCAGGTGGGAAAAGAGAGAAAAACGCGCGTTGTAGTTGAATCGAGCAAAGTACCTACCTGCTTACGAGCTAGCAAGAGAGGGTGGCCGGCCAGGGTGACGCATCGTCACGAGCCTGCAGACCTACGAACGGGGCAGTGCACTATGGAGAAATTGGAGTCGAATAACAACAACACCGGCATTGATGATCTAGCCGTCAACAACTCTCAGAAGGTGAAGGATGTTGTTGAAGTAGTGGTATATGCAAGCGATAAGCTGGACTTGCGACCGAGCAAGGCGGAGGAAGGCAGATAGCTCCAAGAAACTCCACGGTACGTACCGAAACTTGGCGAGCTAGTACTAAAACGGTAATGACGCTGCCATTGAGTGCTTGATGGTAAACACGTCGCACTACCTGAGACGGGTACGGCCTTGACTGTATGACAATCGAGTCAGCTCGCACACGGCGCTTGAATTCTAACGTTGCTCGAGGAGCAGACAGCCCTTTATTTGAAGTGACAATGTACCACCATCCCATCTCTACGACCATACATCTTAGGACCTCAACTAGTCCCTAGAGTGCAGTAGATAGTTGATGCGCCATGATTCGACAGCTTGAAACAAGCCAAGCGCGCTGATTCTGGCACGGAAGACAGCAAGTCTTCCAACGATGTTACTCCTCGAGCCGAGAATCGTCCGCGATCCAGCTAAATTACATGCATTAGATGCGGACGATCGTCGCGCACATGCAACAACATCTGAACGTTTGCGTTGTCGTCTGCGGAAATGGACACTCCATATGCCTGTACCAGTATTCGTTGTCTTCCTTAACGAGTAGGGTCGTTCCAAGGCAAACCACCTTCCCGCTTCGAGGGCATGCTGTTGCAACTGATCACCCAGAATCGGCGGTGTTAGACTCTCATCTCTGTATTGTGAACTGTCCCTTTTTCGGCCTACTTCTTCCAACTTGCCATGCACGACAATGCTGTGTAGCCTTCTTTCTTGTTTCGTCCGGACTTGCCCCGAGTTTGCTTTTTGGAGAAAGGGCTATGGTGAGTCACGATGTCCGGTTTCGACGCTTAAACAAATTGCCGATTGTGGTGCAACGCAGAGCTCAAGATGCTATGATGGCCGAAACGAGTATGGGTAGCTTAGGTGAGGTTGGAAAGTCGCTGTCGCTCCTCCCTTCCCGCTAGAGGGGTTATCTTCAAGAGATTGAGAGATTGCTAGGTGCATTGTGTGGCTGGTGAGCGAAGAATAGCGGAGGCCTACTCCGGGACAGGAGGAAAGATCATTGGCTAGGATTATTTGTCCGGAAGATGCGGTCTTTCTACGGGAGTGCTACTCCGGACTGTTGACAGAGTGCAGCTTCCGGTCCAATCATCGGTCCTCTGGGGTTATGAGTCTGTATGATGTGTCCTGTTCGCCGGAGTAGTCGTCCGGTGAGGATCCAGTGATCGATCATACGGAGTGGATACTCCGAAGGGTGCTGCTTCTTCCGCTGGAGTGCTCGCGCAGGCTCTCGAAGTCGTGAGGACTACCAAATGCTGATCAGCCTTGCGAATGAGCACCAAGGCCGGAGTACAGCGCTCCGTGATGTGGGATATGAGGCACAAACAGGCAATTGCAACGCGGAGATAGGACACATGCATGCAGTCTAGATAGTAATCATGCCAAAAGCAAAGATCAGCGCTCTTTGCCAGTGTCCAGTCAACAGACTGAAGAACTGATGAAAGGTATCCGCGTCAGCCCTAAGCAGTGCAATACGAGCGACATTGTGGCCGGCGACATAAGCAAGTCCAGAGGTCACCAGCCCTGACTTCAAAAGACAAGTATAATCGTTGAATGTGACCATAGCCACGTTTCAGAGATTAAGCTGAAAAGAACAGACACTATACTTGATCTAAGCCAAGAGGCACAGAGAAGCTGAGGAATGAAAAAGAGGCAGGACAGCAGCGAGAGAAAGAGTGTGTGTTCTCGAACCAGGCCAGTGGAAGAACTTCGGCCTCGGCCACTGCTCGCTTCCGTCGGCGAGCCGAGCCTGATCCACCCTCGATTCTGAGTAGGTGTCGCTCCATCTACTCTATATACTCAGAAGACGATGGCTTACATATTTCCTAGACCGCAGCCTTGCTAATTACGAGTGTTGCATGCTGGCCGTATCTGCACTTTCTTCACGACTGTCAGACAACCATGTCTCCGAAAGCCAGGAAGAGGCAGAAGACGAAGGACACCTTGAGCATTGAGGTGGACTACCCATCCGAAAAACACAGGATGCTCGCGAACTGGGCCATTAAGCGGGGCATCGAGGTCAACAACGTGAAGCCAGCTGAACTACCTGGTCGCGGTATTGGCTTGGTCGCGACGAAGAGTATCAAGGAAGGCCAGCGAATCATCTTCGTGCCCGAAAAGGCCATGATCAAACCCGACCCCGATGCATTGAATCACGTTGTACACAGATCGATCAACAAAGAGGAATCGCCACAAGCACACCTGACTGCAACCTTGATGCTCGAAGCTCTGAAAGGCTCAGAATCGGATTGGTACGAGATTTGTCAGTCAGTCTGGCCGCAGCAGGGAGACTTCGATGTCTGCATGTTGTGTTCCGAGGATCACCAGCTGAACCCTCTGTTCGAGGATGTGATCCCGCCCTCGATCAAAGCACCCTTAGATCGCTTGTTCAAAGACCTGGAATCCGACTTGGGTTCAGCGAGGATTTCCATCGAATCCAAGTATGAACGCGACAACGAGTTCGTTCCTCACCAATCGGACAGGTTCAAGGCCTCTGGCTTATATCACTGGATGATTGCAAACACGAGGAGCTTCCACTGGAAACCCACAGGGCGGAAGGAGGGTGCCATGGTTATCTGTCCGTACCTCGATTACATGAACCACTGTCCTGAAGGCAAAGGCGTGCGTAGTTCTCACCGTAGATGTAGACTTTTGCTAAGTGTAAGTATAGTGCAAAGTGACCCAATCAGACAAAGGGTATGAGCTGACGGCCAACCGCAACTACGAATCCGGCGAGGAGATCCTTGCCGCATATGGTGCGCATCCCAACGACAAGTTACTTGTCCACTGTAGGTTCCATTATGCCACTGTGTCTTTTCCATGTTTACTTTGTTGACGCATCATGTTCTCGTACAAAGATGGCTTCGTCCTTCCCTCCGAGGCGAACAGCGACGACGAAATCCGCCTCGACCACGTCATA